ATAATAACCTGACAAATTCGTTTGCGTTGCTCCCCAAATTGTGCCTGGCTTAAGCTTTAATATTCAAACAATCCTATGCCTGTAATTAAGTTCTTTTAATTGTGTATTCCCATCATAAATTTTACTGAAAACTATGGTGCATAATTCTGAAATCACCTGTGCCTACAAATATCTTACCTCCTGGACTCCTTCAAGCCCTCTGAACTGACAATCTTCCTCTACCTGATCTATCTTGTCAGCATCTTTATCACAGACTACTAATTAGGAAGGAGTAATTACTCTTTTTCCTCATCTCACTCGAGGACTCTGAAACACACAGTCGTTTCATACTAGTACTTCACAGAGGAGAGCTAAAGTAACTTATCATGAAATTAGCCGAAAATGCAGGGACCTGAATCAACATCCCGGTCTGTATCTAATCGATGGTAATTCTCTTGAAATGAATCCTTTCTCTTGATTACTAGCATCTACCTGCTCCTCCATCCCCTCATTTATTTACTGTTTGGTAAGTACAAGGTGGCAGCAAAGTCTTCCCGAGTGGCTTACCCTCAGAGATAATTCTTACTTCAATCATTCCCATTTACTAAGATCAAATGACAGATCATCGCCCTAAAAAACAAACATAAACATGGAACAATGATCTCCTTTTAACATCCTAATGGTCTTACATTGCCAAGGTCTTTCCTGCCTGTGAGGTTTCTAATGCCTCTTTATTTTCTGTTGGCTTCAGTTTACATTACCTTGCAAATCACCTAATTAATATTCACAGAGCATTTTATGTATCTACTATCTAGGATATACTTTCTTGCCACAAAAGTGTCATCCATCCACCATACTTGTCTGATCTAAAAGAGGGGGGGGGCAAACCTACACTAATGAAAAGGGCAAGGAATCTATCTAGTTCAACCCTTTATTCTACAAATAATGAAAATGAGGACCAGAATGATATACTGTCTTGTTACTGAGGCAGAATGTACCATTTCTGAAGCACAGATCTAGGCCTTCAATTTCAATTCAAGACCCATTTTTATATCACCTAACTTTAGTGAAAACTAGTTTTTCTCTTCTGTTATGTCCCTTTCTCAAAAGATAAAATGTGTACCTCAGGCACACAACCATTTAAACACACACAGTGTTGTCTGAATTCTGCCCCTGGGGAGACATAAATCTCTCTTAGGAGGCCCCAGTGACAAACTAAGATACCATTCCACCAAAGTTTACCCTAGGGAACTAATGTATTTATTAGGCTTACGTACAGAGCATGACTGAGGTGCTACTTACAGAAGCCTGGTATACTCAAAAGCAGCCAGACTGGCAAGTCTTTACCGGGCATGGATGACAGCTTCCTCACAGCTAACCTTTCCAGACTATATACTTTAGCACCTCCCTACTAAGAGACCTTGTGCGATTAGCGCAGAATTACATACAAATGGCCACGAGGTACAGGAGGCAGAGTCCTGAATCTCAGATGAGGACCCCCATCATGAAGGCATGTCAACAGACAGCAGGCCCAATTGCAGGGTCTTCTGCAGGAAGCCATAGCTGCCCTGACAAGGACTGGAGGCTGTTTAGCTTAGAGGATAGCGCTCTACAACAGGCACTACAACACCCTTCTCCCAAACACAGTACAACTGCAACATCACAAATTCTGAGGAGAGGGATGGAGTCTTTCCAGTCACCTAAAAAATGGAATTCTCAAACAAAAGTTAAAATTACAAGAATAGACATTTCTCAGTCTGTACTGCATAGTATGTGCTTTCCATGTTCCAATGTCTCCCAACTCCAGAAAAAAAAAAATCTTAGCTTTACAGAAGCCCTATCTCATCTCCCATTTGTGACGGGGGTGGGGGTGGGGAAGGCGATTGCAAGCCAGTGTCTCAGCCAACATTTTGCTCTGACAGATGAGAAAATTCCAGGTTCAAAACAATGAGGGGATCTGCCTAAAATATCCACCAAGTAAACAGCAACATTGGGACAAAAAAACCAAAACAAAAACAAACAAACAAACAAAAAACCAGCGTCTCCCATCTTTGACACGATGAATTAACCGCATCAAACTAAGAGCAACTTCCTCAGCGGCGGGCTGAGAGCAGGCGTCCCTCAGTTTACTGGCCTAAACGACTCAACATTAAAATCGTTGAATTTGTGACGCCCGGAGTGTGCGCTGGGGGAGGGGGCCGCAAAGTCCGGGCAAACCTCCCACTTGGTCGATGAAACCGAGACCCAGAGAAGGTTCTGCATGGCGGAATAGAGGGCTGGACGCCTTACAAGTTAAGGCCTGCAAGGCCAGAACTGCATATTCAGACGCTCCTTCCTCGGTCGCTCTAGGCCCCAAGAGCTCCAGCGCCCGAGAGTGAGGGTCTGGGCGGTGGGAGCCCCGGACCCCTCCACCTGCCCACAACCGCGCACCTCCACCTTCGCGACAGCCTCCCTGGCCGCGGCTCACTTACGCCGGCCCTCCGTCTGTTTTTGTGGTTGAGAGGGACCGAGAAAAGCGACAGACTCTTCCTGCCGCCCCCACCTCTGCAGCGCTTCCGCTTCCGCCGGCTCTAGAGCCTTCGGAAATAGTGTCGTCGCGGGGGATGGGCCTGGGCGGGACCCACTGTGTCCCTATTGAGTGTGGCTACGTCCCGGCGTGGCAGCCATGTTCAATGTGGCCTTTCCTGAAGCGGATCAACCGGCCCTTCTTCCGGTGACGTAGAAGTTCCTCGCCGGAAATGCCGTGGATCTTTGGAGTTTGCTTCTGTGGAGCTGATTACCCCGAGATCCTGGCTATATTTTGGGTCCTCTCGTCGTCATCTGCAAAATGAATAGGTGCAATAAAGATATTTCCCGCCCAAACTTATTTAACTAAAATAGGACCATCGTTTTCGAGGGGTGTGGATGAGTGGAGGAGCGCAAGATACTATTACTGCTTGTGTGATTTTTGAGCATTGTCTTTGCGTGTATAAAGGTTTTCGATCAGTGTTTCATTAATAAACGAGACACTGGGCCTTTGACTGTTATGCCCAGATTAGGACCCCCAAAGAGACCACCAGGAGACCAGATATATCCAGAATGCAATAGCAAGGTTTACTTCTTGGCGCAATACGAGCTAGCAAGGAACCCTCGTCCGCAGTGCCTGGCGCAGCGAGGCAGGGAGGAGAGTTCCTCTTTCTTGGGGAGATTAGCTTTTGAAGGCAAAAACCACAGAATTCTTCAGAGAGGAGGGGGTTAGTACGGGTCCACCCTTGATTGGTCCAGTTTTCCTGAGTTTGGACTTTTATCTTATTTTTTGCTCTGTCAGGAGTTTTACAGCCCATCCAAAATTTGGTCATGTTATCTCGGGGGAGGGGGGCGTCTCGTGGTTAGCTACCACCAGACAGTCTGATTTTGTACTTTTTTTTTTTTTTTTTTTGGTTTTTCGAGACAGGGTTTCTCTGCGTAGCTTTGCGCCTTTCCTGGAGCTCACTTGGTAGCCCAGGCTGGCCTCGAACTCACAGAGATCCGCCTGGCTCTGCCTCCCAAGTGCTGGGATTAAAGGCGTGCGCCACCACCGCCCGGCCTGATTTTGTACTTTTAAAACTTCTGACTTCACCCTGTCTGGGAATGGGGAACTGACTTGGTTCTGGCTATTTTAAGATGTCCCTTTCCTCAGCTCTCCAGGCCTTAGGGGGAACTGGGGTGGGGGTCTCTCAGACTTATCAAGTCAGCTTGTTCAGTTTTTTGTTTGTTTTATAGCTAAATTGTCTTCAGAGAGGATAGCTGTGGCAATATCACAAAACGGGACTGAAACCGATTTTTAACGTACAGATAGATCCCTTTGTCAATGCGCTTACACGCCTGTAACTAACATGAATGGCACCTAGCTCTCTCTGGGTACTCCGTGGGTACAGAGTTCATGTACACAGGAACATTTTAACACTTAATTTGATAAGATACGGGGGTGGAGGGAGTGAAGTATCTGTGTTGTTAGAGAACTAAATATGGCTTATGGGACACCGTCTTAGACCTTCTCTTTCCCTTACTAAGGATTAGCACCCTGAGCTGTAGCTTTTCTTTCACACTCAGGATTCCATGTATCCCAATTTGGAGCTCTGGTAGAAAACAAAGCTTCATATATGTTCATGGTAACTTTCATGCTTCCTCTCATTGAATAAATATGTATACTCATGTTACTTATTTCTTGTCAATATATTTGGACTTATAGTAATAAGAGTAAGCTCCTCCTGCCCTCATTTCTCAGGTTGTTCTGAATAATAAATAGGAATGAGATAATAAAGTATATAGGGCCTGGCATACTACTGAAGACAGTAAAGTTTATTTTAGCACACTTGAGTTGTATCTTTAATTCAGTTGGATATATTCTTTCATTTGATGGCCTTTCTGTGCCTCCAAAAACACAGCTATCATTTCATGGGAAATAAATGATAGTTTATTCTGGAGCCAAGTAGTAGTGACCATGACCTGGGAACACATATCCAGGTCATCCCCAAGCAACATGACAATGTGTAATGGTTTCATGAAGTTTTTGTAGTAACAGAAAAAAGGAAATCATAAATTGAAACTTTTAAAATACATTGGCAGAAACATCAGGTAGGTGAGTTAGAATAAAGCTTTTATAAACCTCAGATGTTAGCTCATGACATTTTTACCCTTTGGTTGGTGGAAGACAGTGGTGTGTATGTACATTCCAAAGTGATTTGATGGTATAGCTATTACTTCATGTAGAATGGCTAGTTCTAACTCTAGGAAAGATGAGCCTTTAATAGCTCCCATCTGTGGACATTATCTTCATCTGTTTTATTATATTGGTATTATACCTGATTTAGTTTGAAAAACCAAATGGAAAGCCACATTATGAAAGAAAATGGATGACAATGTACTATTTTTCAAAACTTTAATGAGTGTCTTTTTATGTACCAACTGTTAATAACACCAGTAGAAATGACATTAGGCCTGTTAGAAATCAGATTTTTATTTTTAACCAAATATTAGTATATATTTAATAGTCAGGAAAACAGAAACAAAGAAACACAAAGTAATATGCAGCCATTCTTAGCAGGGTAGATCAGCTGAGCATCAGACAGAAACTCACAAATGATGTTTGAAGATGGACCTCATTATAAACCCTCAGGTATTTAGCAGTGAGGGGGCAGAGACATAGCTTTATGTGGTCATCCTTAGCAGCCTGAGGAGTTCCTCTCAACACTAGAGAACTTAGTGCAGACCAAACCAGGATTTGTGACTTCAATGATGATAGGAATTTTAGGATTAGCTTAAATAATAAAGACATTTTAAATGGAGGCTTAAGGATGAGGATTAAAAGAAAAAACCACTCAAGGAAAAATATAAGACAGATCCAAGTGTGAGTATAGCTTACCAAAGTAGTGTGGCCTTTACAATGGGGATTTTTAGTATCTTAAGATGGGCCATAGTCCTTTCCTTTTATATATAATTTGCTGTTAGGAAATGAAGAAAGAAGAAATGAAGTCAGAGAAGATGAGAGTAAAGCATTATTTTCAGAACTTACATATGTATGCATCTATAGTTTTAATATCTAAATTTTCTAATTTATTTTTTATTTCTCCTTTACACTTGTAGTTTTTTGAGCTATTATGATGAATTAGTAATTATATCATTTCTTTTAAAGATCATTTTACATTCCAATTAAAGGAGGCCGAAATTTATGGGTAGAAAAAAATATTGCCCAGGATTTTTAATTGTGTACAAAATAAACCAATTTGGAGGTACTAAATGTTTCCCATTTAGAGGAATTGTACTTTTAGCCATATTTTTCTACTTTTTTTAAAATTGCAAGTTGAATTAACATAACCAATCAAACACAAAACCACCCCAAACATGCCCTCATTGCTTAGATTCCACATGGGAAAAGTGTCCAGAGGAAATGAAAAAGAGAAGAGGAGGGGGACAAGAAGGAGGAGGCTATTATCCAGTTTCACAAATAAACATTCAAAATAACCTCAGAGATCTGAAAGCAAACAAGAAACTGAATGTTGAGTCAAAATTCTTTCAAAGCAAAATAGATGCCTTAAACCAAATACTTTGGAAGCAATTTTTTTTAAAAAAAAAAAGTAGCTACTAAACACGTTCTTTAAATAACCAACTCAAAATAATCAAATTGACCGTTAGTACAAATCAAGAACTGAGAAAGCCCCCAGAGAACACTCAACCACAGCCTACCTGAGGAAAGAGCACCCAGTGTCTTCCAAGCAGTAGCAGATACTTTGTTTCCAATAGGTGACTCCTGCTGTGAAAAGTGTACCTTTGGAGGCCCACACTGGGAGTCATAACTACCAATACAAAGACGGTCCTCACCTCAAAGAAAAGCGAGAATTTATTCTGGAGACGAGTGGTGATGGTTGGCCCAGAGAACATAGATTTTGGTTGTCCCAGATTCTCTGTTCCAATAGGAAGACATTTCGTGAATTTTTTACAGTAACATGAAAAAGAAAAGCCATAAATCAAGGCACCTTTCAAATACATTGGTGGATACAAAGGATGGTTGGCTAAAGCAAGACAGGGGAGACTTCGCTATAGGTCTTAGATGCTATCTGACAACACTTTTAGCTCTTTGATTGGTGGAAAACTAGGGTTTTGTTAATAGGTTCCAAAAGGTTTTTTTGTCTGTTAAAATGTTAGGTCTGATACAGAAAGGAGCAAGAAATAACTATTTAGCAACATAAAGATAACCCCAGATAAACTGTAACTAGGGTCTAAGATCTGCAACATTCCAGCTTCTCCACATCATTGAAGTTTTAATCAGTCAGCCAGCCTTGAGGACCTAGCTTACTCCCAGGAACTCTTGTTCACAGAGGCAATGGAGAGGCAGAATTACAAGGACAGCATGTGGATGCTGTCCTCTGCACTAGCCTTGCTCTGTACTATTATTTTACCAAAACAGATGCCACCCTCATGCAACCAGCTGTTTCTACTTGCAGTCACCACATGCAGGCTTCTTTACTGTTGATATTCCTTTTTCGTTTAGGGTGTGGGAAAGGACATTGAACCCTCACCTGGGTATCCAGACACCTCTTTCAGCCATTCTTGCACCTAGCCTCAGGGTTTTCAGAAATGCTAGAGTATACAGGCTGGGGAAAGATAGCTTTATGTATCCATGAAGGAATGATCATCTGTGCTGGATGCTGACTTTCATTGCTTTAGGCTCACTCACGCTTCTGCCCATATCCCCTCATCCCTGGTGTGTATATAAGCCTAATAAACTCATTGTGACCCCAGGGTGAACTGTGGGGTACTCAAGCTTTGGTTTGCCATTTCTTATGGTGAGCATGGGGAAGCAGGGTAAAAGAAATAATGATTAGCTAAACAGCCCTCCTGGGATCCAAAATTTGGAACACATGGGAAGACTAAGCTGCAAAGAAGGAAAGATTGGGAGTTACATTCAACTGATAGAAAACCACCAGGACTTAAGTTTAATAAAAAAGAAGAGAAAACACATGGTACAGAATGCAGATGGGGACCCTAGTAATAGCCAATACAGGAAACAATGATGGTCAGAGAGTACTCTGCCTTTGAATTGTGCTTTTGAGTAGGGAAACACCTCTAAACAAGAAGTGTGACAGCTTCTCACAGCTTGACTTATGAGGCTGTGGCACATAGAGGCAGTTGAGTTCAGTCTGAGTACTGTGGAAGCAGAGAAACTAAATACTCAGAACCCCTTGAGACCAACGTTGTATAATCTAAATACCCACGAGGGAAATTATTCTCTGGAAGACTGACTTAAGTGAGCCATTAGCTACACTTGGTTATCACTGTCTGAGGTCTCAGCAGTGCCTGCCCTTCCTCGAGTATCTTCCACAAGCCTCTGATGTTTGTCTGGACCTCAGCCATGAGGGACATTTCACCAGGCCAGATAAGACCATTTTCACAGAAGAGTTAAAGGGCCGATTCACTTTATGGGGATCTTAGGGCTGGTGTGGCGCTTTAGTGGTGTGCTGAGCCCTATGGTTGGGACATAATGTTTACAAGGTAAGAGAGACTCGGGCAGATCTGAATGCTTTCGACTGGCATGTAAATCAAGTTCATACAGTGCTAAAGCAATCACAAAAAGATGAGGGGGAAAACCAACAGGAAGGTCACTGGGTCCGTCTGGATTACTTGAAAGCAAATTGGCAAGATGTATATCAAGCTGGAGTTTCTAAGGGGAAAAAATAAAAATGCAAATTATGTCATAGTTACTTTTCTCATTACTGTGAAAAACCTATTATGAAAAGGGCTGGCAGGATGGCTCAGTGGGTAAAGGCACTTGACTCCAATTCTGATAACCTAGTTCAGTCTCCGGAGGCCACATAATAGAAGGACAGAACTGACTCCTGCAAGGTGTCCTATTGTTTAGACGTCACCTCAGTGACTGCACCTTAATCTACTCCCATTGCAGCCAGCAATTATTTTTTGTAAGGAATTGTCAAGTAGTCCCAACTGGCCTGCTTTTCTCCAAGCCTCTAAGTGTCCTGGACTTATCTGCCTCCAGCTACTGAAGGGCAGCATTCATACCAGGTACCTTGAGCCTATAAACCGAGAAGAAATAAAGGATTATTTCGATGGAGATGAGACTCTGCAGTGGCTGAACAGCCTTTCCTAGGCTGCCCACCCATCATAGTTTGAGAACATCCACTACTTCCCAGGGACTCTGCTATGTGCAAGGTCCCTTGGCCTGAGATGCACTTTTCCAAATTGTGGCCTTATCTCCTGTGTGTTTCTGTTCCACTCTCAATGCCTCCAGTAACTCCTACCTGAAGAAGCCCCTGGCAAGGCAGAGTTGTGATTTCTAACCTAGATGGTAGCACAGGCCTTTGGGACCTTGCTACCTCGAAGTGGAAAGAGCTCTTGGACAACTACTTTTCTCTCTCCAGCAAATTTCCTCACCTCTGTAAAAAGTGTTGCTGAATCAGACCTGGTCAGGTTTCTCCACTCATCCCTCAGCCTCACCTCTCCACCATTTCCTCTTGATGCCATCATATATTCTTTGACACAAATAACTCTGCTCCCCAACATACAGTTCTTAGGGTACTGCATGACCTGGCCTGTACATTTACCTTCCATCCTCACACCCCCAGGCCTGCCTAAATTTATATCAAGCTGACACAAGCCAAAGTCATCTGGGAGGAGGGAGTCTCAGTTGAGAATTTGCCTCCACAGGACTACAGGCTGTAGACAAGCTTGTAGGACATTTTTCTTAATTAGTGATTGATGGAGGAAAGCCCAGCCTACTGCGGGTGATGACATCCCTAGGCTGGTGGTCCTGGGTTCTATAAGAAAGTGGGCTGTACAAGCCATGAGGAGCAAGCCAGTAAGCAGCACTCCTTCATGCCCTCTGTATCAGTGCTGCTGCCAGATTCCTGCACTGAAGATCACAGACAGGCTAAGTGGAGGGTGGGAGTCCAGCATCCACAAAGATGCTGGACTCTTGAAGGAAATGGAGTAGACTGACATGGCCTCTCCTACAGCAAGCTCCCTACACCCAACATCCCATGACAACCGTACAAGGCTTTGATATAGCAACTCTTTATCCTAGTGAAGCTCTGCTCTCTAGTGCACTGGAGGCTCAGACTGTCTGTCTCTGTCTCCGTTTCTCTGTTTCCCCTGCCCCCAGTGCTTTTAATTTCATGACGCCTCTGGGTATGCAGTACTCACTGGGCAACATTGGAGACTTTTATCAGTAGTAGAGCTTCCTCCTTTTCTTCTTCATGCGTAGAACGTCTTCATCTGAAGATATAGGTGGCTACGTATAGCACATTGAGCACTAGGGATAGAGTAGGAATAGGTTCAAAACAGGGAAGGAGTCATGGCACCAAGCTCTGGGACACTGCTGGGTATTTCTTGCAGGGATCCAGTTGACCATCCTAGGTGAGTCACTGCTCCCACACGTGCCACCTTCCATGCTATCAACATTGTTTTGGAGAATTTTCTATTGGAGACTTTTCTATTGACTGTGGTTCTGTTGTTTGTAACTTTTGGATGTTCCTTTTCGGTCTCCTTTCACATCAGAAACAAAGCTTTGCTTGCTAACTGTGCTGTGCTTAGCATCCCTGTTCCCACTCTGTTCAGCTCTCCTACTTTCCTCAGCTAGGCAAGAACAGCCCTTCACCTCGTCTCCACGAGGAAAGGTGTGACCAGATGACCTGTTAAGACTCAACTGTGTCTGGCTGGGCATGTCCCTAAGCAATGTCTCATTGTATATACTTCCAATTGGGATTTTGGCTGTCCCATAAACTTTGTAAGGGACTCAGGTGAGGCCTCATTTCAAGGGAAGGAGAAGACAACTAGGTACACTAAGGCACAAAACAGGAATGAATCCAGGGACCCACGTTGAATGGTTAGGTCCGATCAGGTGGGCAATGCAACCCAGTACGGAAGGCAGCAGGGACACACTTTCATGGATTACTGGGTATAAAGGGCAGAGTCCCCATTCCACTCAGGAAATAGGGAGGAGGGTGGAGAAGGCTCTGGGTAAGGGACAGAAGAGTGGTCAAATGATGTGGCCGGTGAAGTGGGCTCCTTCATCACTGTGGACACATTGATTAGAAAGAAGAGTCCCTGAGTTTACACAAGGCAGAATCAATGCATCAGAAGTAGAACACAGAGCAGGCAGACGTACTTTGCAATGAAGACAAACCCTCACACTACTGCAGGGGTTTCATAAAAGGCATTTGGGGAATATAATCTCCTTTGATTCATACTCTAGACCCGTGGAGACAGGTGAGAACTATACTAAGCATGAATGGTATTGTGTTCCCCAAAATATAGTGCAGCCTAATAAATTTATCTAGGGTCAGAGACAGAACAGCCACTAGATACAAAGGCTAGAAAACAGTGGCAATCACACCTTTAATCCTAGCATTCCAGAGGTAGAAATCCCTCTGGATCTCTGTGAGTTCAAGGCCACATTGGAAACAGCCAGCCATGGTGACACACGCCTTTAATCCCAAGAAGTGAGCCTTTAATCCCAGGGAGTGATGGTGAAAACAGAAAGATATATGAAGCATGGAGACCAGAAACTAGAAGCATTTGGCTGGTTAAGCTTTCAAGCAGCAGCAGGTCAGCTGAGATTCATTCTGGATGAGGACTCAGAGGCATCCAGTCTGAGGAAACAGGATCAGCTGAGGAATTGGCAAGGTGAGGAAGCTGTGGCTAATTCTGATTCTCTGATCTTCCAGCATTCACCTCAATACCTGGCCCAAGGTTTGATTTTATTAATAAAGACTCTTTAAGATTTCTGCTACACATGAAGCCATATCAGTTCCAGACAGCTCAGAGGACAGAACACACAGGCAGACATGGCATGGTGATCTGATGAGACAGGGCAGGAAACTGAGGTTCAGACATACAGAGGATAAGCCATAGAGGACTCAAAAGATAAAATACAAGTGGCCATACGCTTTTAATCCTGGGATCTTGTGAACCTATTATGAACTAGGAATATATGAAAAGGAGGCTTTATCTGGGCCACAGAGTTCCAGATCCATCCTCAAGTACTAGGCCAGAAGCTCCAAGATGGGTGTCAATGTGTCCTTTAACTTATTTGCCCTAAATATCAGTCTAGTATGAGAAGCATAGGCTAGAAATGAGCTCACATACAGCCTTCCTTCTGTCCCTGTCCCCGCAGACACCTTGTCCAAATGACAGAGTAGACCCAGAATGCAGTGCAGTTACCTACCCACAGTACTTGATACCTTTCTCAACTCCCAGAGTTGTATTTCAAAAGCATCTGGAAGAAAGCAAAAAAAGTGAATGAGAGTGGCTCATTCACTTCTGCCTACAGAAGATACAGCCACATCAGTTCACACCAGATCAGCCTCAGCTTCCCACTGGTTCATTAGCATCTTAGGTTACAGGAAGGTGCTTCAGCGAGGCCAGACTACTCACTCTGCCACCCACCCACAGAGTGCTCTTTATATAAAGACTGAATGGGGGCTGGAGAGGTGGCTCAGAGGTTAAGAGCACTGGCTGCTCTTCCAGAGGTCCTGAGTTCAAGTCCCAGCAACCACATAGTGGCTCACGACCATCTATAATGAGATCTGGTGCCCTCTTCTGATGTGCAGGTGTACATGCAGGTAGAACACTGTATACATAATAAACAAACAAACAAGTAAATAAATAAACAGAAGTTGCCATTTCAAGATTTTAGGGGGGGAAAAAAAGACTGAATGGAATCATGGAGGTACTGTTACAAGTCCTGTAGGACCAACCGGAAGAGGATTCGCTTCTTCTGCATTATTGGGCCCACACTACAAGACCTTTGTACTCAGGTTCATGTCATTGACTACCGACAGTTGTGAGCCACTGACAGTTTCTTCTATCACAACTCACCAATCAAAAGTGAGCACCAGAGGCACACTTTTTTTCCAGACTACCTCAGAATACACACAATTTCCAAGGAAAGCTACTAATTACAACTGAAGGCTAGGAGCTTTGGCAGTGACAGAGGCAAGAATGATGGGTGTTCTGGTAAAGACTGTATTTTTATTTTTAAGTTTATTTCATCTGCATTTGAATGCCTGTATGTCACATGCATGCAATGCCAGCCAAAACCAGAAGAGGGCATCAGATAACCTGGAACTGAGTTACAGATGGTTGTAAGCAGCTATATGGGTGCTAGAACTCAAATCTGGTACTCTGGTAGATTCAGTCAGTGCTCTTAATCAAAGAGTCATCTCTCCAACTCCCCCAGATCATCTTTAACTGACAGTGGGGTTTGGTGCGTTTGTGTGTGTGTGTGTGTGTGTGTGTGTGTGTGTGTGTGTGTGTGTGTGTGTGTGTGTGTACTGTTTGCATTTCCTGGCTATTTTGAATATATAAGCAATAAACATGAATGACTGGGTATCTATGTAGTAGAATATTAAATCCTTTGGATACAGCAGATCTATTTTGAGAGTTTTTTTAGGGGACCTCCACACTGATTTCCATAGTGCTTGTACTTGTATGTGCCCACTGGTAGAATAATGGCAGGAATGTTATGGGAGTAACCAGATTAGATCAAAGACCCACTCTATGAGATGAATCCACACCTGGCTCTGTCAAAAGCAAAAAACCTGTGACTAGATAGTTCATAGGCTCTAGAGGAGAACCCAATGCTATTATTCTGATAAATGGGCATAAGATTAAAAGGATACCCAATG